AGTTTACTCTAGATGAGACTAACCAACAAATGCCAACCATTTTCAGTGTCAAAAAAGCCAAAATAACTAATTTGTAGCCAAATTAGCCTTGTCACTTCTGGTCTCCAAATGGTAGCTGCAACTACCACTTTCTGGAACTTCACAGAAGCCAAAAATCAAACAATGAAGCTCTACAGACTCGGGGCATGCCCATCCTGCTTTAGATAAACTATTATTTCTCTCTGCCTCAGTTTTTCCATCTCCTATCTGTAATATGGGGATAACACTGATAACGTATCTTCCAGCGCTGTCGAAAGGCTTAGTGAGCTTGTGCGGAGGAGAATTCTTGCTATTCAACCATTGTAAGGAAATGATGGTGGTGACGGTGATGATCATGTTAATGCATGATGATTAAAAAGAAAAGCAGGTATCCAACTGAAACTGTGACAGGGAGTATTACTCAACAAAATGTGAAGCAGTTGCCCAAGATGTTAGCTCCAAGGGTAATGCCTTTCCTGCATCTGAATCAACAGGGCCCCTAGCAGCAAAGGATTCCATGGAAGCACTGAGTCAATGGCGGGGGAAAGTACCTTTCTCCTGACTCATCCATCTTGAATCAATGAGGAGAGCACCCTCTAGTGACTCTTCTGTTCTTCATCTGAAAGTAATTCCTCCTGACTCCCAATTAGATCTGGCTAAGCCAGTGTGGTTTGAACATTGGACTATGACTCTGGAGGGCAGGGTTTGAATCCCCACTCAGCCATTAAACCCATTTGGCAACCTTGAGCAAGTCACAGTCTCATAGCTTCAGAGGATGGAATGGCAAACTCCCTCTGAAGAAACTTGCCAAGAAAACCCCATGATAGGTTTGTCTTAGGCTCACCATAAGTCAGAAATGACTTAGCGGCTGCAATATCCTAAAGGCACCTCTTCCCATCTGATCTCAGAAGCTAAGCAGGGACAGCCCTGTCAGTACTTGGATGGTAGACCACCAATGAATAGCAGGATCTGTTGGCTATCTTTTGGAGGAAGGGACTAGCAAAACCACCTCACAGTATTCTTTGTCTAAGAACATTCTCTGAAAAGTCATGGGGTCTCCATAAGTTGACAGGCAACTGGAAGACACAGACACTAAAGAATGGGAGTCAACCCATGCCCCACAGTGGCAAGAATGCTTCCATAGGGGTTTCTTAGGCAAGAAATATTTACTAAGGACCAAATCCCATAGAACATACACACACACAGGATGGTGCTATATGGCTCCTTTGGCTTGGCACAGATTGCAGTTTCTTATGCCAGCCATGTCCCTTGCCCTCCACAAAACCAAACCATCTCCTTCGCCCCTCTCAAGTATGAACTTAACCCATTTTCCCCACTTTTCCAGGTTTCTACCTCAGGATCTTTGGGTCCACTCTCTGTTACGCCTGTCCACAGCACCATGCATGGGGCAGGTAAGCTTCACTAGGATGACTTTTCACTCTTTTTCTTTCTAAAATCAGCAGTAAATCCCCTGGGGATTGCTGAAGAATGAGAAACAGACTTCTGTGTTAGTGAATATAGAAGAACAATATCCCCAGAATGTAGAAAGTTCCCAGAATCCCTCAGTCAGTATCAACACTGGCCATCATGGCTGTGGGATTCTGGGAGTTGCAGTTAGCTTTTCTATAGTACTGGATATAGCTGGCCAAGAGCTGCAAGGATAAGAAAAGGCTGAAGCTCCATACATCCATCTGTAATAACCAGTCCAGTTTTGGAATCCAAGCTTCAGTGTGTAATAGTAACAAAATGAGAAGCAAATGCACTTTTTGTCTTCAAAGAATAAAAGTTTTGTGTACAGTGCAAAGCCTTTCAGATGGTTAATTTTCTTTCTTTTAAAAAAATATTTCTTTCTTTTAAAAAAAATCTTTCTTTCTTTCTTTCTTTATTTCTTTCTTTCTCTTTCTTTTTGTGCAGTGACGTCCTCCTGCTCTCCTAGCAGTTCTAGTCGGCCCCAGTCGCCAGGCACAGGACTCCACTCCAGCAGTCCCAGTATGTCCCACAACAACTCCAAAGCTGCCATCAATTCTTCCAGTTTCAATTCTTCTGGGTAATTCCATTTTCCTGGAAATAACACCTTTTAAAAAACAAAGCAAAACAAACACAACCTACAACTCCAGTAGCCATATTGGCTGGGGCATTCTGGAAGATGTGGTCCAAAGAGGTTACTTTTCTATGGTCTGGAGAAAAAGGCCCAACAGGGACAGGCATGATTCAGAATAATCAAAAGCCCAAATTTCTTGATGTTTTTGTGATACCAGATCCCCATGCCAAGGAAACTATTCTTTCCCAGGTCTGAGGCTTGTGGGAAAACAAGTAACTGTACTGAGGTTTCATAGTATTGTAAAACAAGTGGTCCTAGAACAGATCAAGCCTGAACTCTCCCTAGAAGCCAAGATGATAAAACTGAGGCCACATCATGAGAAGCCAAGACTGATTAGAAAAGACTATAATGCTAGGAAAGGTAGAAGGTAGCAGAAAGAGAGGAAGAACACACACTAGATGGATAGACTCAATTAGGGAGGTCACAGGCTTGAGTTTGCAGGACCTAAGCAGAGCAGTGGAGGACAGAGGGTCTTGCAGGTGTCTCATCCATGGTGTCACCATGGCAGTTAACAACAACAAAATTACACATGAAGTTAGACAAAGAAGCTCACTGGAGACAATCAAGGCTGCTTTCACACAAATAGCCGAGATCCCATGCTTGTACACAGCTCCATACATGTAGCTCCCCATCCTTCCACTGCTTAGCTGTCAAGCTCCAAGAGAGTCCCTGCTGCTGTTGCTTACCAATGCACAAAGGAGGGGAGAATGAGTCATACTATGGATGTTGTTGACATTTATTTTACATGCAGAAGGTTTACAGATGTCAAATCCACTTTGACCTTCCATTGTTGTCACTAATGAAATCCCATGAAGTGTCTTACATGTGCGCAAGTTCCCTATGGAAGACACTGAACATTTTGTCCAATGTACACCATCTGCATTCAACTCAATGTCACAGAGCTTACATTTTCCATGTGGTGCCATTCCACTGGCAAATGCACATTTGGTTGCACATTCATTTATGCATAACAATCTATCACACGGGTCAAGTAACACAAGAAAACCATAACTCCACATGTGGAGATTTACACTTCCCAATGTTAATGTAGGATCTGGGCCACTGATTTCCAAATCTATTTCTTCTTCTTTAAGGAATCCTTGCTCCATGTTGTAATGTGTTGCTGTACTTATTGTGTCTTCTTTTCTTGTTGCTGTTACTCTTCTGTGTGAACAGATCATGGTACCGATGGAATCAGCCCACCTACCTCCATTGAAGCTCCATCCTCCAAAGAGCAACGAAACCCACTTTTCTCTCCTCTGTGTAAAAATAAAAAGGAGCCTTAACTTCTTCCTATGGACCACCTTTGCTGGAGGCAGTGGTTCAGGTGAAGGTTCAACATGATGGCACAGGTGCCTTCAACAAGCACCTGGTCTCCTGTCTGCCCTTGATCTCAGCTGGTGAAAGCAGAACTGTCAAAGAGACGAAAACTGTGATGGATCCCCAATCTGTTGAGGGGTGTGCTGGCCATATGTTGTCTGAGCTACAGCACAAAACCCATTTGCTTGTCAGGCATTTCTCCTCTCCTTTATGAGAGAGGTTTCCTAAAATGTTTGCTCTAAAATGTATACCCTGACCATATTTAATGGAATGGGCCTGCCTTTTCTCTCTCTCTCTAGCTTGTAAAGGCTTTCCTAGGGAGTCAACTGTGGAGACACATCTGCTCGCAGATCAAAATGCACAGGGCCACCCTTGAGGATTCCCTAAAACTGAGCCAAGGTTGCCACATTAGTTTCACTCAAGGTTTAAAACCAGGATGGTCATTTTAACATTCTGCAGATGGTGTTCCATAACAAAGTGATGCGCACTGGAATGATCAGGGAGGGATGGCATCCAACATCACCCACTCAAACTCTTGACTTTTTTGGGTGGTCTAGATTTATGTCAGTTCCTTATAAAATCCTTATCTGTTTTCTTCTACAAACACTGTTACGGTCCAATAGCAGCTGGTGGCTTCATGTCAGAGGGGCAGTGACTCCTCTATGGGTTCTAGGGCAGATTTTAAAAGGAGATATCCAAGGTGCTGATCCTCATTTCCAAAATAGCTCCAGCCCCTTAGATATGTCATTTAAAGTTTAAACTAAACCCCACAATGGGTTCACCACTGGACTAACATTAAACATAGTTGGTGGAGCCATGTGGACCCATTGGTTGCTGTAAAGCAAAATAAACATGAAGCTGATCTCCATGTAACCACTCAAAAATGAATGTGGATCCAACTCAGGGTCCAAAGGCATGAAAACCTTCATCTCACCTTTACTGCATACAGACTTTTTTTCTGGTATTTGGTAGGTAGTATTCTTAAACCGGCATAGCCTGAGGCATATGTGTTCATTTTGGTTGCCCATCAGATCTTCTGATCAATCCACTTTGGCCAAGTTGGACACATACTATTTCATGCTGTACCAGGAATGTCAAGAATATTTGCATATTTTCTCCTTGATGAGAAAGTGTGCCTCAATATGTTAGGACAACCAGTTGAATAAATGTTGAACCATTTCAAGATTTTCCACCCTCAAGCCAATCATGAAATCACTGTCATGTTGTTGTTTCATTTGTTTCTGACATTGAAGCATTCCATATCATGCAAAACAGATGTATAGCCCAAACCATAAGTGATGCAAAATAGATTGGGCAGTAGTCTGTATCAGGTACTCAGTTAAGTATATAGAGAGATCTTGTAACACCTTTGAGACTAACTGAAAGAAAGAAATTGGCAGCATGAACTTTTGTAGACTTCAGTCTACTTCCTCAGATGCATTTACTAAGTGTTGTTGTTGTGCCTTCAAGTTGTTTCTGACTTAAGGCAACCCTCAGGCAAACCTATCATGGGGTTTTCTGAGGCTGAGGATGTGTGACTTGCCTAGTTACCCAGTGAGTCTGCAAGCAGGGATTCGAACCCTGGTCGTCAGAGTCATAATCCAATGTTCAAACCACTACACCACGCTGGCTCCTGTATACTAAGTAGCAATCAAGGATAGGGAAGAGTTATAGATGAGTGAATCTAGGTAACTGTTTCATATTCATGATCACCACTTAGTCATGATTGTGAAACTACTGCCACAATTGTAACTCCTCTCCCAACCTATTTTACTGCACACCACCTGCACGAGAAGGTCAATTTTGCCTGTGATGAGAGCAAAAGTGAATGACGTTACTGTCAGGTTTAAGGGGATCAGGCCAGGATAGTTTGCTTAGTTAAGTGTACTTGACTAAGTAGCTGATACAGAATATTGTCCATTTGTTCTTGCACCAAAACACAACCATTTTTTTTACAAAGTTGTGCAAAGAATTCTCAAAATGGGGAAAAAATGAAAAATGCAAAGTCTCTTAATTGCACCTCAATTTTTTTCCATGTATGCATGAACAAAATAAACAAACATTTTACATTTCTAACCTAGATCAACCAAAATTAACCCAAGTGCCTAGCAGGCAATACTCATGAAGAGTATGACATACTTGGACAAGTTCAGTTGCACAGTTCTCTCTTGATCTGAGAGTGACCAAAGAGAAGTAGCTGCCATTTGAGAACAAGAAAAATCAACCCAGCAGCTCCTATTCTCCAGACTCTGATTATGTTTCACAAATGTGCACATTTGGCATGTACACTTCTCCAGCTACCAATAGTTGGACAGATCTCCTGTAAGGTAGTAATAATTTTTTCCTCCTGATAAATAATTGTGTGGCAGATGGGAGGAAGCAGAGACCATGAAATCATCAGCACAAGCTGTCTATGTGGGTCATATTTTCCTCAAGGGTAAGATAAAGAGCTTGAAAAAAAGTAGTGCATACTGGCTTGGGGAAGCTGGGAGTGATAGTCCAGAAAAGTAACTTTTCCGAGGTCTTGTAAACTGGAGCCTACAATTCAAAGCTAAGAACGTGGGTGGAAAAGCAGCCGGGTGGATGTAATTTTTGAAAACTAGCTGGAAGGGAAAGGATTAAGCAGCCTTTCCACTCATGCTCAGTGCCTCCCACAGCCGTTTTTCAATTTCATTTTGTTTTTAGGAAACACATTTGAAAGCTGTTGTAAGCAGATGCCCTGCCATGTCTAGTCTGGCTCTTAAGAAGTGGCTTCTGCAACAAACCTGAAATGAACCGCTTGCTTGAGTTGTAAAAATCTCTTTCTTAAAAGCCTCCCTTAATATATATATATTTAAAGGCATATTTCATCTGCAGATAATTCTCCCTTTACTTTGTGCATTCATTTGCCTTTTGTGGAGAAGAAATGGTCAGAATGTAAAACTCACACATGGCTTGCACATATATATATTTGTTGTTATCAGTAGCCTTTGAGTCAGCCTGATAGTGGCATTGCCCTCCTACGAATTTAAGAAGAACAACATGATTAAGACAACACCTCCAAACAAATTAAAAACATTGGCCGGAATCCTGTATGGAAGCTACCTCTTCATAAGTGGATAGTTCCATGATGTCTGTATCCAGTAGAGGGATGCTGTTGCATTATTATGTTACAGAGGCAATAAATGGACTATTGCACAACAGGACCAATGCACAATGGGACTAATGCACAATGGAATCAATGCACATCGGACACCAATGTGCATCACTCCCAAGGCACATGAGTCCCAATGCACATGGGGCACTCTTGCTGGTGTCCCAAAACACTTTTTCACAATTCAATAACAGAGTTTTGTAGCAACTCTGCTACTTAATTGTACATAAAGTTACATTAAGCAAAAGATGATATAGGATTCTGGCATTACATACCCCCACTCCCTTCCTCCCTCTCTTATTGCACCCACTGGGTTTTCCTTTTAGCGTCCAACCAAAAGGGCATGTGACTCTCCTTCTCTGTGGTTGTGATGTCTGTCATTTGTTTATGGGGAGATTTGCTGCATTGTACATAGCTTCTCTTCCCTAGGCCCTGTTTCTTATAGCCTCTACTCTTCTCTCTTTGGGAGAACAGTTTGTATAACTCAGGTGTGAATTTTGAAGATTTTATGTGTGTCTTGTTTTGATTTCATTAAAATCCATTTTAAATTTCTTTTGTGGAATGTGGAAGAGCGGGGAGGCAATCCTTTCTCCAGAGCAATGGGGCAGGGGTGGGGAAAATGTGGCCGGTGGCCCACATAAAACCATTGGGATCCACTTTTGTGGCCCCAGTGTGGTGCTGGAGGAGAGTTCTGTGGATATCATGGACTGACAAAAGGACAAATAAATAGGTCCAAGAGAAAATCAAACCTGAATGCTCCCAAGAAGCCAAGGTTATTAGACTGAGACTGTTGGACATTCACCATATCATAAGAAGACATGACTTACTAGAAAAGACAATAATACTTGATAAAGCAGCAGGGAGTAAAAAAAGTGGAAGACCATGTTACAGGTGTATAGACTCAATCAAAGAATCCATGGCTCTGGATTTGCAAGGCCTTAGCAGATCTGTTGGTAATAGAGCAACTTGGAGGCCTCTCATTCATAGAACCGCTGTAGGTCAAAGTCAACTTGGGTGCTATTAAATAAAAAACATAAAAACATTCACATTCAACTGCCAAAGACTCCCAAGTTGGAATCAGTTTTTCCCTGAAAATAATGCCAAATGCACAAAGATGCTAGAAC